GGTCGATAATTTATGCCACTCAAGTCCCCGCAGACCCGAGAATCTCTTGACCTCCTTTTTTCCGAGACGATGCGCTTGTGAACCCCAGTCGAGCCTCCAGGCTACACTCAAGCCAAGTATCATGATCAACATTCATCTGCAAGGATATGCTTCGAGTTCAATAGAAGCAGTTGTTCCTGGATACGGGGGCGCTGGCACGGGATCCTTTTTGACTAATTGATTGTGCCAACTGCTTGTACCGTAGGCCCAGGACCGGTATTCACAAATTCGGCTCGGTTAAACACAGCTTCCACCGAACACCTAGTGTACCGGGCGCTGGCGCCCGGGCTTGGGCGCCCCAGGGGAGATGATCTGCGCCCCGGGGCGAAGCCCAGGGGCGCCACAGCACCTCCGGGCAAAATCCTGCTAGAACCCCTGCTACGGAAGCAGCGGAAGAACAACTCACAGGTACTTGGTTGTTGCTCGGTGTTCGTACGCAGTTCCGCAAATAACGGTACTTCTTCAGAGATGATTTGGCTCTTCGGAAGTTGCTCATAAACTCCCGGCCACGCTGCTTGTGGCCTACCGGGGCCCTCCTGATCTTGATATCACCTTAAACATATGCCCGGTAAAGCATGAAGCCACCGGCGTGCTAAATAAGACAGCTGGCCGCGACGTCATGTGGAGTACATAGCCGGGCCCCGGGCCCTGGCCGGCCCGGTCCGTAGTCCCTCAGGCTTGTCAGACGTAAAAAATAGGTAGGTACCGTAGGTACGGTACCTACCCGACATAAGGTGGGACCTACGGTCACCTACCTAGTACCAAGCTACGGAGCCTGAACTTTGAAGGTGCCTAGGTACGGTACCGGTAGGCTAGACATGTGTACCGTGGTCCGTATGTGGTACCGGTAACCGTACCTAGCTTGTCAGAACTCGTCCAGCGCGCCACGTACGTACGCCGTACGGTAAATTGTGATTATCGGTACGAGGCGACAATTCGAAAATTGGACTAACGGCCTTGTCGAGTCCCGCTGGGGCCTGACAACCGTTGGGATGTCGAGTGGTATGCTCATCGACGGCTAATGTAGATGCTCGCTGTCAATTACTTGTACACATGTTGATGTACAGTAAATATGTCCAATCAGCTAATATCCGCCTAGGTAGGTAGTAGGTACACATTCGAGCTAACCACCTGCGCTCAGCTCAAGCTCAGCTTGTTGAGTTTAGCGGCCTAGCTGGCTTCAAGCCTTGGAGGAACAGAGCTGACAGAGAAGCTCCACGCAACTCCCAGCGCAGAAAGGGGGAGATACAGGATTCGCTTGAGGGGCTTCTAGGTTTTGGTTGCTGAAAAAGCATTTGGCAAGATTTTCTCAAGCTCAAAGAAAGTCTTTGTTGCATTCAACGTGCATTCAACCGTGTCGATTATGGCTGCTTGCATCTTCTTGAAGAGCGGCATTAGTGAACAAGCAGCACCTACGGCAGCCATTTTTAGGAATCTTCAAAACGATTTCACTGCTTGAAAACCATGTTTGCTTGCGAACAGCAAGCTTGCTCTTCGGAAACCTAATTTTTGGTACGCTGCCAGTTAAATACCAGTGCAGTCCCACTGTACCGGCACCCGGGTACCAACTCGGAGTCATCGTGATACAACTCCCAAAATTGACGGTACCGTACGGTGATTATCGAACTGACACTGCGGTGGTACCGCGGTGACACTTCGCAGACTCGGCGCAGTGATCGAGGCAGGAAAATCCCCGTAAGTGACATGTGCATGACACGATATGTTTGTTGGACAAGCTGCATTTGCACGCAATTGTGACTATGCATGCATAGTTTGCAAAGTACATGTGCTCATAAGCGGTCTCAAGCCTGAGCGGTTGCAAGCCACGGGCATGTGCAAGCACCAGATCCCGTGCAAATTGAGGATTGCCGATTGCCGAGCCTACCGTCTGTGATTACGGTATTATGCGGCACAACACATTGGCTGCGGCCGGATATTTTCAATTTCGAATGAGCTACTTTCAATGCCGTACATGCACACCTTTTTCTTTCAATATGCACATGCATGCACTTCAGAAGTGTAGGTAGAAATATGGAAGCCTACTAGTATAGAAGTGGCATAGTAGGCAGATGCATACCTTGCACGTCTTCTCGTCTCATGGGGGTGTGCGCACGAGGTTCCATAGAGTCGAACGTCAAATTTGTGGTTCCGACTTTGGTTGCACTTGGACGCTTATAGACCTGACCGACTCAGAACCTTGCAACAACTCCACGTCATTGGGCGGCTCCATCTTTACCGCTACATTTTCAGTGCCGTTGAGTGGCCGCTCTTCTTGCTCGTGACTGCTGTTCTTTTCGAGCTTATCCTGCAATAAGGGGAGACGATTCCGTTTGCATTCTCTCTATATATGAGGTTCTTTCGGAGCAGGGTCGGAATCAATTCAGGTTCGAGCAGGAGCGAGAACGGAAAAGGAAAAGGGAAAAATAGACCCTTCTATCTTGCTTGTTCTGCGGGAAATCGATGCAAGCCCACAGATGCTTGTAACACGGAGACAAGAGTACTGCAGGTCGATAACATTCAGAGAAAGCAAAGCGTATGTCGCCCGGCCCTTCCACCTCTGATTGAGGCGGGACCAAGGATACGGTCTTCTGTACCCCGAGAGAAGTGACAGTAGACTGGTGACTGTTAACCGGTAGGAACGTGGACATAATTCCATTTGTCTGCTACAATGCGCTTGTTCAGTTTCGAACACAACGTGAAGAAGTAGAGGTTTCAGATGGTCGCCATACGTTATCCGAGCCTAAACCAACGTGCGGAAGGAGAACGCGGCCTCTGAGAATCGTAAGCGCCCTTCCACTCAAGCCCTTTGCCCTTGTTTTGGAGGAACGCGAGTTGACCGACTCAAAATCGAGCAAGAACAGGAGAGCAAACTCATTGAGCGGAGGAACGAACTAATTGACCGGGGCGGTTCAGACCTACAAGGAGCGAAGAAGGTTGAAAGCACCGTCTCTGATGACGAGATCACCTGACGGCCGACTAGCTGGATACTAACGGAGGCGGCTGCCTTTTGACTCTACGTGCTCCAAATACGGGGCCTGACAGGAGCAGCATGAAAATAAAGAGACATAGCGAACACGCGTCAGCAGCGTTCTCTGAAAGTCTTCAAGAGTTTTCGGGTAAAGGTGCAGCATTAACACTGAAGCAGCGGCAGAGAAACGTCAGCGGCACTCACTGCGGCTGCACTTTTCATGTCCCTGTACACTTGGGCTTCCTCCGGGAAGGCGTCGTCCAGATTATCCAGCAAGTGGCCTCGCAACTCCTGCAAAGACGTTGGCAAGGACAGCAGAGTTTGTCATGTCTCGCCGGCACTAAGATATGATTGTTACAATGAATGGAACAGGCAGCTTCTGCTGGTGCTCGATCTTCGGCAATAGTTGGTGAAATGAGATCGGTCTGCACTGAGTACCTTTTTCAAGTCCCCAACTCCATATTTTCGTCTCAACCAAAGCAGACATGTCATGGGCTCGTTGAAGTAAAGGGCTTCTCCGCAAGATTCTTACAGGAAGACGGTGCGCTGACTCGAACATGGTGCGAAAGTAGTCACTTCCCTTCCGTTTATCAGATACTATGTAAAAGGAGATCAGCTACCCTTGTAAGAGGAGTGCATACGGAGTCGGGCGGCTCTAGACTTCCTCATTCTCTTCGATCACGTGCAGTCTGTCTGGTTGCAGCCCTATTTGGTCAGACACACTATCATCAATGCCCCAGAGAAATGTAAGGAAAGTCGACTAAAAGTTGTTCTCCATTTAACACTTCGCTTTGTGATACTCAATATGGTACGATGTCACGATCGTCAAAGCAAGAGATTGAAAAGCACGGAGGTGATCGTGAAGAGTTGCTTGTAGTCAGCTTCAAAAGAAGACAGAAAGAAACGAAGGGGAAGAGAAGGAAATTTTGAAGTCCCACCTTGAATGCATCGACGCGGCCCTTTGTTGCCTGGTTTCTGTCTAAGCAGCGCTCTAGAAACTCCCGTGTGTAGAGGTCGGGGTTGCGTCCCTCGTCAACAAGACTGCAAAAAAGAAATTTACGACTTCGTTTCCAAACCGCATTTGCAGCCAAAAGATCACCACAAACAGTGAATTACGACATGCAACATAAGATTGGGGAGTAAAAAGATTGTGTTACTTTTGAGTGCACTTGTGGGAGCCACAGAAAAACTACGTTAGAAACACCCCGATCAAGCCCCTTGTTGGAACACTGCCTTCAAGATTTGAAAAGTTGGGCAACAACTAATCTCCGCACCTGAGTGAGAGTCCCTCGTTAGGGAGGTGAGCGACATGTCTCCGCCAAAGGAAGGGTGCAATTCAGTCCAAAGAGTTTGACCATTTTTCTAAACATCATCCAGCTGAGTCAGCAAAGAGAGGTTAAAACTCCTATATTCTGATCCGAGAAGTAGTAGCCAAGGCTCTAAGTCTCTAAGGACGTTCACCAAATACCGCACTCTTGATGTGTACTGATCTGACTGTAAACTATATGTTCCCTGTTCCTGAAGTGCCCCAATCGAACCACCGGTCCTTGTTTTCTGGAGAGGGGGATTGGAAGCCTCAACAATTTTGCCTGTCACAAATCATGCAACACTTTGTCAATGAGCGCCTTACCTTACCACCTCTCCCGGAATCTCAATGTCGAGCCCCTCAGCGCTTTTTTTAACGTGCTTCAGCTCCTTCACAAAGCTGTCACTGCAGACAACCGCCTGGTGCAATAAGAGTGGCCGCTGACAACGAAGGGCCCTATGCACTGGGGATCAGCCGAAATGCTTTATTGGTGACCTCAAGACGCGCAGAGTTTCCAAGATCATGTCGATGTGCTCTAATTTCTTTACTGCTCACGTACTTTCATCACCACATTGAGCTCCAAATGCAGTAATGCCACACATTGACAAAGATCCAATCAACGTGTAGGGCCAATTGAAGTGATGCGACTGCAAAGAACTCCTACAAGCAAAAGAAACATAGACAATTGCAATGCAATCGCAGCGTACATAGTCAAAAGTGCGTACATTCTGTCAAAGAGCAGCACTTGGTTGCTTTCTTTGTAGGCCATCACCGTCCTTTCCAGCTGATGTATCTCCAGAAGAGCATTCTCCAGCGCCACCGCTAACCGCTCAGTTCTTTTGACTTCCGTGCCCATTCTGCCTGCTTTCCACAATCGCCGCACTCACCAAGGAAAGTCTGCGGTTGCACACGATGCACCCAGCACTTCCCTGATATCGGAGCAGTCCAAGCGCACTCTTAATTTCGAAATTTCCAACAAAGCACACACACACAAACAGTTTTCGAACTCATCAATTGCCAAATGGGGAAGAAAGTTAAGTTCTGCATGCATGATGATCGTGGGCAAACCCAAGTTGCCAGGATGCGGACGTACGATGGCCGCACGGACTCGGTTTGGGTCGCTGACCAGCCTGGTCCGACGTCCGCAACAGAGTCTAAACCACCGCAAAACCACCAGGGTTTATCAGTTCCGTGAAGGGGGCCGCGGCAAGGGCTGCGCGGCTGTCATTGTGGCAAGTCGGGAGATGTGGAGTTTGAGCGGTCAGAAATATTTGTTGTCAATGCATCAATGGGGAACAATGGGAGCGCTTTCGAGAAATTCCAGGAGCTCAAGCAGAAAGAAGTTGATGCTTATGAAGCTTATGTGATTGCGCTTGACGACGAGGAGGTTGGAGAGCGACTAGCACGTCTGGAAAACCCGGATCTGGACAGGATAGTGAATATGCCAGCAGATTTGCTGAGCTTGGCAATGAGATCAGAGATGAAGAGGGTAGAGTACGAGGAGGCAAATGCTGCGGTATGGGCCTATATCGACGAGATGGGAGTGTGGGACACAATTTGCTGCGAGGCAAAGGACGCTGCAATAGGGATTCACAGCTACTTTAGCAGAAGAATTAGGAGGGTGTAGCTGCTGATCATTTGATTTGGTAATCACGGAAGCATCTTGCTCTAGGTGTTTCAGGCCACGAGTCCTCTCTGTTTTTGTGTGAGGCATTGTTTCGCTAATGCTGGATTGATGACAAAGTCGAACGGAACTTACATGAGAAAGACACGTCAGGCTCCTCATAAGCTGCATCCACTTGACCATAGACCAAAGTCTTTCAAAATTTCTGCACATGACCAAAGGATTCTGTTCGGAGCTTTCTGCCCTTGATCGATCAACATTCCTACTGCTCTCAAGGCGGCTCCCTATGATGATAGACTAGAGGAAGAGCGTATCAGCAGGACGAACACTATCAGTAATACTCTTTCAAAATTGTCACTCGTTTCCCGCCTCTGCAGCCAATTTGCGGATGCCTCTGTTTCCGCTATAATCCGTGGCCGAGCTGCACCGTCGAAGCTCTTAGCGCAAGGTCGTCGCGTCGGTTGGAGTCCTTGAATGAAAAAATTCTCCAGATCACCTATGTAATAAAACAATGTAATAATATAACACATAGTAACAATATGTACACTAATAAAACTTAATGTACTCGGACCTTGCCACCTTTGAGACTACACAGAAAGTGTAGGCTTCCGCTAGCCCCCTCCTTCTCACCACCGATGCGATGCGTCCCTGCATCTGTTGTTGCCCTTCGCGGCAAGGGGTGAATGGGCCCCAACCAACCCCTTTCACCGCCTGCGCTAATCTGCCTCATCTGATTACAGGCAGATATACATGTTGTTGTGCTTTTCCTTCTTACCAGAAAAGCTCCCCTAAGCTTTAAAGTACAAAGCAGGAGCTGTTAATTCACGGCCGGCATGATGCCTATCTTGTATGTTGCATGTCTGTTGCATATTCCGCGTGCTTGGCCTCTCTATATCCTTTTCCTAGGTCGGATTAGTAACGAGGACGAGAACACCGTACAGGAAAGTCTGCAAGTCTTGTCTCATTTTTTGAGGAGGCTTTGTCATCACGCAATGCGACTCTGTACGTCGCTGAGAGAACCCAAGCACGCATGGTCAGGACAATGTTCGCCAATGTAGCTAGTCCATCAGGCCCGGTAGGACGACTTCTGAGATATGCAATCAGTACAACATAGACATTTCTCACGTAAGCCACATGCAAACTTCAGCCTCTGGCCCAGGTGCCTACTAAAAGTTTGTGAATTTGTAAGTCATAGCTTTGTATCCTGACCGATGCAGCCCATAATTCAGCGTCAGCTAGCATGGCACTCCATCCATCCGGCAGGTGGCTTCCAGGCTTACAGGCGACAGAACATCTCGACTGACGCGTGTGGCCGCCAGGCCTGTCGACGGTTGCCACTTCAGGGCCGCGCTTGCTGAACGAGAGCGAAGAATGTATAGTTCGAGGCCTCGTTTGTGGGCGATCATTCGCGAAAGACTCAGCTTGAAAAGCGACGCGTACGTACACATACATGTGCAGCATAATTCAGGGGTTGCACATGCGCAGTTTAACTTTTCTAAAATATAGATCCCGGAGCGGTTTCATTAATCTTTTAGGTGGTGCGACTGCAATAATCGGATAGCCAGACAGTGGTTGACCAATTCGGCGCGCGGGGGCCTCACTTCGCGAATTTCTGCGGTCGGTCAATGAAACAAGGTACGGTCGCAGCCATGACTAGTTCTGCCAGTGTTACTTTTGAAGCATATATGGACGGAATTTAAGGATTCACATGGGCAGCCTACACAGCCTTTTTCTGCACGGTACACGTCCATTTCCTCATTCAATCGGAGTACACCAGAGACCTAAATTTGCTCACAGGCGCATGAGGTATGGAGCGTACTTAAAATGGACGCGGTTGAAAGGAATGCATTGAAATGTGATTGTGGTGGACTTCCCTTCACTTGATCGCTATCAAAAGGTCTATACGACGGGCTAAGTCAATGCGCCCAAATGACGTGTCCTAGTCACTTTTGACCCGGACGGTCTTGATACGCCAATCTTTCCAGTACGGCGATAAGTGTGGTCGAGTTGGTTCAGCCACCGCTGCCTAGTCATTCTCGTCACTGTCGTAGTCAACAAGCATTAGGCGACATCGTCTTCCGAGTACGTCTAGTGCCTCGTCGCCGACCCTTTCAAGGGCCTGCCGTAGTGTTGCCCAGACCCACGCAAAGGGACAATCGTTACTTGATGTCCAAACGTCACACACTCCACCGCAGACAGCAAACCTCACGCCTTGCGACAGTACATGCTTTGTGCCTCATTACATACAGCTCCGCGCGCCCATACTGTCCCCCTCATCTCGACGACCCAAATCCCGCCTGCTCTCGCTAGGGTCCCCGCTCCCGTCCGCTCTTCATACGCTTTGATCTGCGCACGCTCCGTTCTTCGAACGCTCGCTTTCGTGGGCAGCACTTTTCAGTACCGCCGCAGTTGGCTCACTTGCTGTCAGGGTTGAGAATGGGTTCACCACTCGCTGCTCCTCCCTCTCAACCGCGGCTCTCTTTCTCATCTTGCCCGGTGGCCGCCTGCTGCGTGAAGGGCTGGGTACCAAATCCTTCAAGACTCGGATACCGGGTGGTTTGGCTGGGCTCGAAAGCAGAGAGCTGAGTGCTCGGGGAAGCGTCCTGGTTGCGGTCGGTGAAGCCGGCTTGAGTGGTGGGACCCAGGGAGTCCTGGAAGGAGTAGTCCTGGAGAAAAGGGAGAGGGTTGAGTGTTCGCAGTTCAAAGCAGGAAGATGGAAGAAAGTCACGAAGGTGACAAATAGGAGATTGCAAAAAGGAAAACTGGGTCGGGTAAACGGAAGCGGCATCAAAGGAAGTGCAGGCTTGACCGGTTAAGGAAGGGGCCTTTTGTAATACTTGACTGCACGGCAAGTAATGAGCAAGGCTTGATTGAGCCTGTAACTTGGCCATTTGGAAGGACGAGTATGGCAAAAACCACCACCTTTGTGACCGCTTTTCCTACCAACGAAAGACCGAACCTGCCCTTGTCAAGTTTTTGGGTCAAGAAAACAGTTCAGAGCGGAAGGGCATCCGACCTGCGACATGAAGTCCCCGTTGGCCATGCCGAAGCTCTGCGAGGCGGGCACCCCAAAGTCCGCCTGACTCGCCGGTTGCGTCTCGCTGTCTAACCCCGAGAACAGCGGCTGCGTCGCGAAGTCTCCCCCGGGGGGCGCCGCATACCCGTCCCGGGCCCCGAACTCCAGCCCCCCGTAGAAGCTCTGCGACTTGTACTCGTCCCCGAAGTTGAAGTCCTGCGACATCGCGTCTGTGGCAAACTCGCTCGCGCCCCCTTGACTCATGCTTTGGGTTAGCGGGGCTTGGGTCAGCGGGTTAAGGCCGTAACCGGCATACGGACTCGCGCTGCGCGCAGGGCCGATCGTGCCGTGAGGGTTGGCCACGTGGCCCTGCCCGGGGCCTGCCACGTGTCCTCTTCCAGCGCCGCGGAAGCCTGCACCGCTGGGGGGGGGAACGTTCGGAACGTGTCCGTTGATGTTGTTGCGGGAGCCGCGGCCGAACGGGATTGCGTAGGGTTGGTGAATGGACGCGCCAGGATACGGGGGTGCAGGGATGGGGGCGCGGGGTGGGCCGTGACGGTGGTGGCCGTTGGGGATTGGATTGAATGGGATGAAACCTGGGGTAAGATAGGACAGTCGTTTTAGAAGCGGGCAGGGGAATGCTACAGAAAACAAAAGAGGTGGTACCGATACAGATACAGATACAGATACAGATGAGAAGAGAGAGTCATAGATTTGTAAGTGAGAAGAGAGGCTCATAGATCTGTACGTGACTGGGAATGTCACATCAACGGAAGGGCGGGCGAATTGGAAGCTTGTGAGAGCAAGAGACACGAGAGATTGGGACTTAGGACTCGAGTAGTAGCCGGAGTTTGCCCCCGAGCAATGCAGTGGGACGAGTAGCGCAGATGGCACAGGATATGCGCACCAAAGCGTACTTTCCAGTCCTTTGCTCAAACCAGATTACCAACAGAAAAAACGTCTCACGCAAGTCGCCTAATCGGTATCTTTGAAGGAGGTTCCAGATCCTTTTGCGGCAGACATCTGAATCAAAGGCACACATCTCGAGAGTGGCGTCAACAAGACAACCCTTGGCCATAGGCAGACCAGCAGTCAAGAAGGTATCATTGCCACGGCGAGGAAACGGCTGGTGTTCGCTGGACTGAACAAGAACGCTTCGGATTACCCTGCGCACGGCGGAGACTCAAGCGCCCAGGCCGGCAGCATGTCCACCATTTCCCAGATTGACCGCGGTGCTAAAAGAGCGTCGCAAAAGAATTCCCGCCAGGAGTGAAAGCAGAAAATGATGGACGGCTTCAGAAGGAACTGATGGAGAAAATCGCACTTCTTGGACTGCTGCTTTGCACTCCAAGGCAGTGGGATGCGTAGGTGGATCTTTCGCTGTTTATCACCAACGACATCGCAACCTCTAGTACGTTTTCTACTTGGTCACATGTTCGAGACAGAAGAGGATGCCCAAAAACCCCAGGACTGCGGAAACGACTCGATACTGACCAATTTGGAAGCCGTCTTGATTCCAGCGTAAGGCGGAATTGGGTAGTCCAAAGACTATTAAAGACCGGCATCGCTCTTGACTTCAGAACCTTTCAACCTTTGATACTCTCCCTTTCTGCCGATGCTCCGACAGCAGTTGTTGTGATATGAAATCCGACTCTGTCGGATGCGTACATTCCGGAAGTTCGGCTACTGCGAGAAGGACTTGACTTTGCGCAGTTTGTGGCTCCAGGCCCTCAAGGACAGATGGACACGTACGCCCAACGACGGCGCCCAAGCAGTGGCAAACATGTCACGGCCACATCGCACAAAACCCGGGCGAGGCCACACAGTGGATCCGCAACTTTGAAATCCTCTATGGCTCTGGCGAGCAAAGCTTAAGACTACAGCGCCAAGTCGCGCAGCTATGGATAAAGTTAACATATTAACTTTCAAGTGGTTGGTTAACGACTTTCTATGAACTCGGGCAAAGTGGTGATCCAGAGAGAGGAGCTGATCCAGAGAGGCAGATTCCTTGTGTGCCCCTCCCAATGCTTTCAAGAAAGAAGAGAGGAGAAGATGGAAACATCCAAGCCTGATCGGCATCTTAACAGTGAGAGTCTCTGCTGACGTGACAAGGCGATTCTAAAAGCCCTTTACTTCCAGCTGACGGAACCGGGATAAAATAGGAGTGTCACATTCAATAGCATCAGCGCTCGACAAGAAGGAGATTGAGCAAAAGCCGCCCAGCCTTCACGTACATCAAAGCTAAACCGCGTGGGCAAAGGTGGGTTTGCTCACGCAAGCTAGAGACCGAAGATGCAAAAGAGGGGGTTTTCTATGAACCAGCTCCGAAAGCCTCCGAAGGTCAGAGCCACTGGGTCCATATATGGCCAATGTCCATCTACGGCATGGATAATTGATCAAGTAAAAAAAGATTAAAAAAAACATTCAAGGCTTTGACGTGTCGAAAATCGACAGTTGCAAGTGCGCTGTCGGATCTGCCGGTGAAAGCTTTCAAAACATGGGAAGAAACACAGAAGCTCTCGGGGTTTGTGACTGAAACCGCTTTTCTGGCCGCAAGAAGAGGCTCACGAGGTGCAAATTTTTTGCGCTTGAGTACAGATCAACAAGACCGAAGTTTTCAGGTTTGAAGTTGAAGAAGCTCAAATTCACGATCATGACTATAGCATCAGGAATCACTTAGAAGCTACAAGCGTCGCAGCACAATGATGAAGTAGGTTTCCGAGACGAACAGGTACGGAAAGGTGAAAACATGCAAGCGTTCTCGGCAAGTGGCAGCTTGCGAGTACAACGGCAAAGCTGGCAGGCTGCGCAGACAGCTGACTCGAACTGAAGCAGACTAACTACTTCTAACCATGCATGTGATCAGGTACAATGTCACAGATAAATTTGAGCAGCAATTTTGGTGCATCGACGAGCTGATGAGAGCAGTCCTGCGGGCATGGAGAACAGCAACAAGCAATTGATTACTGCCGAGTCAGCAAGATAAAAGAGCGGCAGTGCGTGGCAGCATCAGTGATAGGGAGAGGCATTTGGGTGCTAAGCGCCCGGCAATTGAAGCAATCGTTGCTGCCTTCAATGGGAATAAGGTGGCATCAGTCCGGGACAACCTTCGTCTGACTTGAGAAGCCCGATGCAAATAACATCAATGTCACCCCATGGAAATGTTGGAGAGCAGTTTCAGGTAACTGAAGGAAAGATACCAAGTTACCAATCGTGAAAGATAGGTGGGATATTGGTGCGTCTTCTGGAGCTAGGCACCCATGAAGTAAGCAAACACCCGCTTTAGTAACCTGATTGAGGGAAGCCAAACAGAAACCAAGAAGGTCAAGAACTAATGTAGCGATGCTAGACATGACGATGAGACCACCTCTTACGGGGATAAAGGGCTCCCCAACCAAGGTGAGTATCTCTGTCCAGTTTGACAAATATCCGAAAAACAATACCAGTCCTACTTCCTGAACGGAGAGCCGGACAGCGGCGATCCTTTTTTTACGCTGAAGACATGCCATTGTGCTTGTACGGCTGGCGACCAGAATGAACTGAGCGGAAACCCAAGCAAGGTCCTTTAAAGTAGTAGAATGGCAGACGGAATTGGTCTCCGACTCAAACGGACCCCAAACAATTGACGGGCCAACATCGAAGGTGAACCAAAGAAGACATGTCCAGATAGACTAAGGCTGGAAAGGCAAGGACGAATGGTTGACGTAGTGTAAAGACACTATTGAGGAGCATGTGTGCTCAATGCAAACCATTGAAATGTGTCGAACGATAGACATATAACGAGTGCGCTACAAGAGTTGATGAGAAAGACAAAACGGCAAACGAGGCAAACAACGGACGACAGAGAAGGGTGCCTTGGTAGCCACACCACACCAACGAAGCCAGGAAGAACCACCTTTCACGGGCTTTCTGCAACCGGGGACGGATGCCTCCAGTGCCCCAGGGCCTCATTTGAACCAGCCTTGCAAACTCCAGCACACTTCCAGTCGGCTGATAAGTGCAGAATTAAGTGTTGATAGTTCAAATCAAACCTGGTCAACCCGGCGTTTTCCTTCTGGCCGACGCGCGCAAAATAACGCGAAGAGAGAAGAAGCCAGACTTGCTCAGTCCAGCACTTTCCTTTTGCTTGACCGATGCAGGAATAACTCAACTCTTCTCAAAAACAAAGCGCTCACCCCCTCCGCCACGCCCCCGGCCCCGCCGGTCGCCCCCGCTCGCTGCGCTCGCGGTCGGCACCGGCACGAATCGCCCCTCCGGCCCGCCTTCCCCAGGTCCGTACATCCTCCGCTCATTCACTACCCGGCGCGGCTTTTGGAACTGGACCATGCTCTGCTTCAAGTTGTTGAGGGGCCCCTCGACGAGAACCTCGTGCTCTTTGTAGTGGCAGAGAAGCGCATTCCAGAGAGGTTGGCGGGAGAGGACCTTCGGGTTGCCAAGCACGATCACGCCGTAGCGCGCGCGCGTGAGGGCGACGTTGAGGCGGCGGGGGTCGTTCAGGAAGCCGATGCCCTGCAGGGGGGGGACGATTTGTCAGGAAAACAAGGCGCCTGGCAGGATGAGTCGGTGGTGCAAGAGTGGTCGACATCTCCTCTCGTTGAGATGCAGCAACGAAAGCGGTCCTTCTTTTCCTATCCTTCAAACAGTGAACTAACGGCAGTAAAGTATCTCGAGTCTCATTTTGCGGATTCAAAGAAGGTTTCACTTGGTCTCAAAATACTTTCTTCAAAATAGCGAGAATATGCATATGGATCTTCGTTTTCTCTAGAGCTTGCTCCTTCCGAGCGAAACAAATGACTAACAAAGTTAGACCAAGATAGGTTCCACTGAAGGCATAAACGAGATGACTCAAAGTATTTCGTCGACCAGTGACCGCTCAACTGTCCACCTTCCGATTCCAAGCCGCGTTAACGTATGTACACTTGTCTGATCTAGCTGAAAGACATACAAGGGAACTAGTCGAGATGCACGTGACCGATGAGAGCCATTCCGTCGTCCCGGAGGACTGCCGATGAAGTCGTTCAATTATCTCAATGGGCGCCCAACCTTACCTGGTGCTCGTTGCTCCTGACGCAGGACAGAACGATGAAGTCCTTCTCCCGCCCCTGGAACGAGTCTACGCTTGCGACCTGCCCCAAAGGAACCGAGGCTCGTCGTTAGTTCCTTCGCTTGTTTAAAGAAAACGTCCTTCGAAAGAAATTGTACAATTACGAACAGAGCAGCTCATCAAGATTTGACAACCCACTTTCCTGCGTTTCAATCCGATACCAAACGGTGCAATACACTCTCTGCCAATCGACAGGCCTTCTTGAACCGAGCCATTGGCTTTGTCTGCCCATCGTCCCTTTGCTGGGACCATCCGACACGAAAAAAAGCCGCCCACCTCGATGTCCTTGTAAAGCTGCTGCTTCAGTGGCCCGACGCGTGCCATCAAGCTGACGACAAAGGCCCGCTGGCCCTCGTACGGCGTGATCACTCCAATCTGCAGGCGGCACGTGAGATGAGAGGGATTCGGCGGTCTGGTCATCCTTGCAGGAAGGAGTCGTACTACGATATCCTTCTGTCCGTGCGACCGCTCCTTCGACTGCCAGTTATCGTACTTCGGCCTGCCAAGTCAAGGTTCTTACGCCATCGAAAGGAAAAAGCGACTAACCGAGAGAGGTGAAGACATGGAAAGACTTTCAACAACGCTTTGAACCAGCCCATTCTTTCACTGGGCGGAAAAGCGAGGAAGTGCGAGCCACTTCTCCCGGCTGGCCACAATGTCTGCCAAACGGCGAAGGCATCAGAAAACTGAGCGCCACACCTGGGAGGGGTTGACGCCCGACTTGAGAAACGTGGTGACGATCTTCTCCACGTTGGCGGCCTCTGTCCGGTTGAGGTAGGACGTCCCGCTCGCGCTGATCTCCTCCTGGCCCATCTGCAGGAAAGCCCCGCAGAAGAATCGGGTTAGCACCCCAGGAAAGGGTGGGACTAGCGTCCATTATCAGATCGCCTTTTGATGCCACAGCAGAGACGTGGAAGGTGCTCTCAAAAACCTTCCTTCCTCAAGTCTCGCAAACTTGAATAGCTTCTAGACTCCACGAGCCATTTTGAGAACGGAAAGCAGCCACCAAGCGACCGCTGTGCATGGGTTCAACGGCTCCAGGTTACTCGCTTTCGCTCAATTGGATACGGAGAACTCGAGCTCGGCTCCTAGCAGCTCCCCCTCGCCATTTTTGCAAAACTTTTCACGCTTCCACCTGAGAACATCATGCTGATAAGGACGCGGACTAGCAGTTGCCACTACTCCAAGAAGACCGCACGAATAAGGGTCACTTTGAAGGGACAAGCAACGAAGGCAGAGAAGCGACTAGCCAAGGACCTTCCAACCGAAACAACAAACGCCACATGTACAAGAGTAACGCCTCACCTGGACGTAGAAGAACATGGGCTTGGTCGCAATCGGCCACGGGAAGTCCACCGCGGTCTGCATGCGGTCGCTCCACGTGACGCCGTTCTGCAGCGTGCCCTCGTAGAAGCAGTTGGACGGGAACTCCGACAGGTTGGGGTGCATTCGATATTGGACTTGCAGCCGCACCGGCTTGACCCCCAGCAATATGAGCCGCTCGAAGAGGGACTGCGCGAGCCCTGCTTTGGCGGCCTTCTTGCACATGATGACGGGGCCCAGCTGGCAGTGGTCGCCAACTAGGACGAGCTGAACAAACAAGAGAAAATAGGTTTAGGATCTGATTAACGGGTTAGGGAAATGGGAATCTTGAAAGGGCGATCGAGCGAGGCCCGTTTTGGCGGCCTTTTTGCTGATGATGACGGGGACCAGCAGGCAGTGGTCACCCACAAAACGAGCTGCAGGAACAACAATTTGAGTCCGAAGTTATGATTTGAGGTCTCAAGGCGCGCATCTCGTTCGTGCATTCCTCAAACGTGCTTGAGCAAGTTTGCCGCTGGTCTCGGGCTGAAGGTGAGACTGCACAACTCACAAAGATGTGGCATGAGCCCGTCAAGCTCTCAAAAAGTTATCGAACTTGCGCATGGGTAATTGTTGGAACACGAGGGACGGAATGCATTGCACAAGTTAGAAACGGTATTGACGGTGGGGGTACAAATTTCTGGGCAAATAACAACTCAACGAGGTGAGCTGGGACAATCTTTGACGCCCGTAGGCCTTTCGGAGGTCACGTTTTCAACAACTAGCCCACTCCTACAGGCAGACAGCAACACTCGGAAGAACGCTACGACCGGACCGAAGAGACAGTCTGTGTTCCTCAACGGGCCGCAATTCGCACCTGCTTGGCTCCCAGCACGAGCGGGATGAGCGACTCCGGCTCCGTTGCCTGTGTCGACTCGTCGATGAGGACCTGGCGGAACCGGAAGTTGCTCAGGCGGGGGTCGCCCGCGCCCACGCACGTGGTGCAGATGACGTCAGCGTTCTGCAGGATCTCGCGCTCGTTGTTGCGCTTCAGGGCCTTGTACTTCTTCTCGTCAGCGCTCGACAGCTCGCCTGCGCACAAGAAATGGTTTGAAGTTGAGGAAAGCGTCAAATGTCATTCATGAACGCTGGGATTAGCACCTTACGACAGCAACCATGTGGACTAAAGTGTAAAGCCATTGCAATACTTACATTCAGATACTTCAGGCTATAGCTTGCCCGTCAGAAGATCGGATCAAACGGAGATCGACTGATGAGCTTGGATGGCCCGTCTTGTTTTAGCAGTCCGCCCTAGGGACCACGATGAACTACGGGCACAGATCAGTTAGGGTCGGAAAACCCCATGCGACGTCGAATCCACGACGCAGCCTTGAGCGAGGCAACCGAAAAGAAGTGATACGGGAGCTTTTTGCGAAGAGCTACACAAGGAATATATTGATGGACCTCCGTGACATCAGTTCCAGAGAGTCATCTCACCTTGCTCGTCTTTAAGCATCTGAAGCTTCACAAGCTCGTTCTTGTCGTCTGTTGCAAGGTGACGCACCTAAAGGAGAGGTCAAGATCGTGCATCAGTGATCATCAGTGATGATGCGGCTGTTGACAACTCCCATGTCAGTGTATGCACGTGGATTGCACCTCAGAGGGGTTGTCAAACCAGTGAGCAATATACGCCCCTTTAGACGCTGTGGCAGGAAGGCCAATGCAAACAAAAGTAAAAGGGGCAAGAGTGAAAACAGATGACGATCATGCCCACTGACACATTCAAAAAGGCGTCCAATGCCTGCTTCTCAAATTCCGGCTTGTGCATGCAACACAGGCCTGAAGCTCTCAAAAGTATTTCTCGTGGACTCCATCAACGTGAATCGCAGGCTCTATCAACGTGAAAAAGACGTGGAATGACGTCAACGTTCGCGCACCTGATAGTGCAGCGTGAGGTGCTCCACGGGCGACAGGATGGCCTCGCGCGACTTGGCGCTCAGGCGCACGACCTTCAGGTTGGTCGCGCTGATCTTCTCGGCCAGCTGGTCCACCGCCACGTTGCTTGGGGCGCACACCAAAACCTGCAGCAAAAATAGATCGCAAAACCTTGATCGACATCCAAAAGTAGCATTTGGACAGAAGATGCTCGTGACTGTAAGCAGCCCTCAATTGGCAAGTGAGTGACCCCGCACCTTGTCTGGGGACCGTCTCCTTCGAGATGAAAAGCGAGGTCCTTATTGGCGGAAGACGCCAACGGAGAGAGAGAGGGTGTTATTCGAACTGAACACCGTGCGCAATGACATGCCGACTGCTGCTTAGAAACCTCCGTCGAGGATGCACATCAAAGAGCTCGACCCTGAACGATCGTTTGCCAGCTGAAGCGACGAAGCCAGAGATCCACTGTCGGCCTTTCCAAACCTGGGACTTTAAGAAAACGTCCAGACTAGCAACAGCCGTCGTTCTCTGCTCACCTGCCCCTGGCCCATGCGCGCCAGGTTGAACACGATCGCCGCTGACGTCACGGTCTTGCCCGTCCCGGGGGGGCCCTGGATGAGGCTGACGGGCTGCTGCAGGATCGTCTTGACGGCCTGCACCTGGGAGTGGTTCAGCTCGGGCAGCCCCGGAGCGCCGAAGCGTTTGGGGAGCGCCACCTTCATTTGCTGCTCCTCTACTTCGTGGCCCAAAATGCGGTGGTAGATGTAGCTGCACATAGGTGGGGGACACTCATCAGCGGGGGGAAAATAAAGCTTTCGCGATGGAGGGCAATGTGAAGTATTTGTGACAGGGGGCGCCGAAGCGCTTGAGGAGCGCGACCTTCATTTGCTTCTCTTCGACCTCGTGGCCAAGGATGCGGTGGTAGATGTAGCTGCACCGGATTTAGGGGGGAATCGTTGAAGATCTTGGCGGGAGGAGTATGCAAGGTTCCCAACAACGGGCAATTTAAAGGTTGGCCGAAGGGCTTCGAGATCACCACTTTCATCTGTTGCTCCTCCACCTCGTGGCCCAGGATGCGGTGAAAGATGTGGCTGTGCGAGCCACGGGAAATGCTTTGTCGAATCCTCCCCAAACGAGTGAAGTCTTTCCCAAGGTGGAGACTGTAAAGTTTTTCACGCAGAGGAAGTTCAAATCTCTCCAGCGGTGTTGTATCGCTACGGGCTTGGGGGAGAGGTTAGAATGTTGCAAGGCAAGAGGCCGGACGAGCAGGTTGTCCTTTTGATAGTCACAAGATCGCTCATCAGTGTAACGGTTGTGGTTTGAAGCTCGGTATTTTCAGATGAACGAAAAGCCGGCAGGTCATGAGATTGACGGAAATGCAATCCAGAGGACGTCCAAAGGGAGTGCGGGATCAGTAATAAAGTCGAAGAGAATCTACTAGTAAGTCAAGCGAAGACCTGTACACCATATGAATGCATTAACGGAGAGAGAAAAGTGAACCCCAAACCCTGTACGTCCTTGGGATAAGCTGCCGTTCATCGTTTAGACAACCAGATCGACGCACCTGCTGACGCTCGTCTCGTCGACAGCAAAAGTCCTCATCGCTGCTTGCATGCGCTCAAAGCTGGTCGCTTTCCAAACGAACTCCACCGTGAAGCCATGAGTGAGGTCGGTGGGGGCACCCTGTAGCAAAATCAGAGTGTAGGTTGTTGACAAAACCACGAGCTCTCAAAAGAGAACGAACGCATGCTAAACCCGTTGTCAGCTCCTCCTGCTTGGATGAGGCGAAAAATCTCACAATAAAGGCTCAGAAGCAACTGCCAATGTGGACACACATAATTCCTCACGGGAAAAAGATGCAGTACTGAATACCAACGTCCATTCACGTCGCGCTGTTTTCAAGATGCTTCATGCACTTCTCGGTCGAGAAATGCACCGCACGGTTTCATTGACGCATGACCACAACCATTTCTTCGAGAGAATGTCCTCAAGACAGCTACAATCCACTTATGAAAGATAAAGAGTCTGAAAAAAGGGGGCCATGAGCGCCCGACGATCAAGCTCCAAACAAAAGATTCGTAATCTCCCGAACCGACCCGCATTAAAAGTACCCAAACTTGAGAATGGGGGTGAAAAAGATACCTGTCCGTTCCTCAGCTCCAGTGCGACCTCCTCCTGAGGCGTGAGCCGGACCACGTGTCCGACGGACGTCCACGACGAGTGCGACGAGTCTCCCGGGTGGCGCAGCCGCAGCTCGTCCCCGGCCACAAGCCGCAGGTCGTTGTCCTCCTGAAGTAACGGAAGCAGCAAAATTGGGGTTTATAAAATCAAGCTGCGTCTCAATCTTGTGAACGATGAGGGTCCAGAAAGCCCCTTGGGTTCAGCTGAAACCTAATGTCAAAGCTTTACACGCTCCGCACCTGTGTCCACCCCAACCCCGTGACAAATCCCACCCGTTCCACCGGAATCACACCCGTTCACCGGAATCATAGTTCGGTTTAAACAGCGGTATGCTGGTCAGGCGCCTGTCGGTCTCTACTTTCCAACCAAGGACTGGAAGTTCGGTCGTTGCAACTTCGTGCTTTGTAGGCAGCTTAGTCAACAGCACAGGTCGAAGAGACGACGACTTGGTCGACTGATCCATGGCCTACGATCGTGATGGTCTTCTCAACGCCACGACGCGAGGCTCGACCACAAATCAGCTCTGAGGAATCAACTCTTTCGAGACTCCAAAACGGACGCCCCGTCGAGCGTGACGAAGCTGAAAGGAACTAAACGACGACGCTGACCAAATGCTTCTCAGTACTGCGCGACGGATCACGACCTTCGCATCCAGAATGGACTCAAAATAGAGTCCTTTCGGCTATCCAAGGTCATTAGTGTTCTCGCTTCTTCTTCGCTACAAGCAGACCTTCGCGAACCGATGGGAATACAGCATTGGGGACAAACGTAAGGTCCCAGCCTGACGACTTTGGAAGAACAACCAACCAGACTCCAACCCCCGAGGCCACACCCACCTTCGGAAAGAGAAAATATGCGACGCGCTTCTTGTTGAGCCCCGTGTCCCAGCGCACAGTGATGCTGTCCTTGCTCTGCGTCTCCTTCATGTATTTGTCGTACTCCGCCTCCAGCTTGATCAGCGGGCCGAAGACGTTCTGGTACTGGTATGCATCCTCGTACCTGGCGGAATGACGTAACACGACGTCAGCTGCTGTCCCGACCACAGAGGAATGTCCCGACCACAGAGGAACACAATGAAGAATCCCGTGAAGATGTTGCCCGGCATCGGTGCTGTTTCGACAGCGGAGTTCCCAAAGGCACAGATTACAGGAAAAGCTGTTCACGCAACAGGCTGTAGGACTCTCAAGGACTGGGACGACATTCTTCGACGATTACGAGAAAGGGAGGGAAACGATATCGGAGGCGGCCTCAGCTTAATGCCGTTTTCCACTGCTTGCAGCATCGAAGACTGAGATATCAACGTTCCCAAGTCCAAGACGTGGCCAATCAACGCTTCTTCGGTGGCATGCTACAGTTCGTAGTGGTCCTGAAGACGATGACACATGGCCATACCTGAGCGCCACTGGCTGCGGTTCGTCATCGACCCCCGGCTTCTCGAGGTCCTCCAGGGAGGCTTCTGGGTTTGTCTTCCAGAGCTCCTCGATCTTGTTGATTTGCTGCGCACTGATCTGGCGCGCACGCAATTGCTCCTGGTCCGAGGGGACCTAGGAAAGCGAGAAAAATATCACATCAGTCCTCTTCGTCATATTTTTGGTCAGATTTTCGGCTTGAACCAGGATGCGAGGAACATTTGGAAGGTATGACGATCCTTGACGACCTGTAGAATGGACCGTTGGCTGTTCAAAACTTGTGCGCCACCGAGAAAGTTGTTCAGAACACAAAGGGAGAGCCGGGAGGCAGTGAGTGCCTCTGCTCAGGCGAGACGAAGTCCGTAAAGAGAGAGGGCTTCGGATGCATCGTACAAAAAACGTGGAGCAAACCTGAATATTTCAAGCCCTCCGCAGTTGTGAAAAACCACAGACGCTTCTCCGGTTCATTATTTTCTCGAAGTAAAAGCGCTTGCTGCTATCAGCAAGCCGCAATAGGTCTCATAATCGCACTTGTTCCCGATGAGTATCACTGACATACAGGTTGGTTTGGGACTGCGAATCTGGAGTTGCTCTTCACAACATCTTTTGCACCTATCCACGCCTCGTTTCTTGTGCACGCCTGACGAAGATCCGTTTGTCGCACTCACAACAGCCAGGACCCGCCTCAGTTTAGAATCTAACTGCCGAGCTGATTCTATGCTGAGTCGATACAGCAACACCCTAGGTCACATACGTAAACCAAAGACACGTCGTATGAAGTAGTCACCTTGACAAGCCACTGCAGAAAGCAGCGGTCGCTGACGAGCGGCTCCCACTGTGCGAGGTCCCAGTTCATATCCTTGAGGCTGTTCACACTGAGGCACGGCTCGCGGCAGAGCAGCACAACCACGCTGTCCGACTTGGCGGCGATGAACCCGAGCAAGAACACGTTGCGGCAGCCGCAGTTGTAGCACTCGAGCATTGTCTCGCCAAGGGGGCTGTCCTTGTGCAGGCTGACTTCCTTGTGCTTGGCGCGGACCTTCAAAGAGGCAAGGAAAGTATATAACTCTTTTCTGAAGATCAGGTATAAGTGCCGGGTTGAAGCCAGAAGTCTGCGTGTACTCAAGCCATGTAAAAACACTGAGATCTGCACAGATATAGACCACAATTGTTCCTTGGAAAGATGTGCGTAATACTGCAATGTCCTACACAACACAACGATGCTGGATAAAAGAGTTTTCTACACGGAAGACAAAAAGCAAGGAATTTTCGTTTCTTTGCTGTCTTCCAGAACACCCCAAAGGGTTGCAAGACATACAAGCTTCCCTTCTTCGACATCAGAACGATCCTGGAACGCCTTAGTAAGATAAGGATACCCAGGAAGCACCACCCCAAGATCTCTGCGACATGAATTGAAATAAAGAGAAGCAGGATTCCTGCAACTCAATGACAAGTCTTAGCGAGCTGTAAAAAAGAAAAAGGAATAAAATTTTTGCAATGACCCATGCATGGGGCAGCGTCTTCAAACAAGTCTTCACTTTTCAAAAACCACGTCAAGACTGTACCAGAAAGTACCCTCTGAAGAAACTCAAACTTCCATGCCAAGTGCAGAACGCCTAAAACTGCTGATATTTCTAGCCGCCAGCAAAACTTCCAATTGGTACGAGTGCACTGAAGTAGATCATGGTAATGGTGAAGATGCTCAGGACTGAACGCATTGCCTGGACCAGTGGCTCTGCCATTTGAGTGCAGTGAAACAATTTTCTCGCTGAAAAGTAGAGAAGACCGTCGTACCAGATGACTGATGATGTGCGACCCCGAGGTGTTCCCCCTGGAGTTGCAGAACCACTTCTTGCAATTGGGGGCATTGCAGCGCACAACGCACGCAGCATTGTGGATCCCGCAATACTTGCAGGCATACTCCGGCAGGTCCTTCCTGGTGTCGTAATCCCCGTCGTCCTCAGGGTGGTCCTCCAGGCTCAGGTCCTTGACACCACCCACCAATCCATCGGCGTTCTTGTGCCCTTCTTCTCCACCGGAGACTTCTGACTTCTGAGACAAGTGAGGCTTCTGGTTCGTCACTTCCTCTCTCAACTTGGGAGGCGCCACCAAATCATCGCTCCACGGGTCAGGCACCAAACCTTCGTACTGACTAAGGGGGTCTGTAAACTGGGGGTAGCTGGAGCTGGCGCCTGGATCGTCGAAATCAAGAAAGGAGTACGCATCCGCTTGTGTAGCGAGATCGTTGCTTGGATCGAAGTAGCTCTGCAGCACTTCAGGCTGATCGGTCCCCGCCTGGCTCCTGGGTGAGTAAGGGTCCGCCATAGCGAGCGGCAGGCATGCTCAAAAAATGCAAAACCAATCAGCTGCAGCCTGCAGGAGCCAGGCGCTTGAACGAGCTCTACAATCTTGTGCTGCTCTCACTGTCAATGAACCCTAAAACAGCGCCTCGCGAGGAAACATGACTCATGACTCCGACTTAGTCATGACTCATGAGCCTCGCCTTTTATGTTTGCGCATCTACGTTTGAACGTTTGACACTACAACCTGAAGTGCCTGCATCAAAAAGAGTGGAAGGATACAGCGCTTGTCAGTGAGTGTCAAGAAGGAAAAACTAAAGGCAGGGTTTATCCTGTCTTGAATATCCTGGTATTGGAAGAGACGTCGCAAAAGGGGGGCCTAAGCCTGGGCCCTCTGATCCCCCTGGAAGGTCAACTACTGATCAACTTCTATACCATGCAGGGCGGCAGAAAAGCCAGACTCCAGTGCAAGAAACTTAAAGGTTGGTACGTACACAGCAGATTCAAAATCACAAGGCGAGGGAGAAACGTTGTGAGGGGGAGAAACCTGTCTGTCGTTCACTGATTCTGTCAGGATTCTTTCAGGGAGCCCCCAACTCACAAGCATTGCTTAGAAAGGGTGGACTAGCAGCTGAAGGTTCTCCAGCATTGCAAGCATGAGCCAGAGCGTGTGTGTACTTTGCGCGGGGCCGGTGGCCTTTGCTCTATCACCCCTATCCAAGCAGGGATCATTTGCTCGCAGCTCTTCTTTCAATGGAAGGGCACTTGTGCCGCTTCAGAGGGCTGCAGGGCACAGAGCTCCCCGGTCTTCGTCCAACATCAGAGCTGGTGAGCAAGGAAATTATTGCTGCTTCCTCTTACTAAAATGTGAGATCCTATAATGGGGGTTTGCATGGATTGGTTGGTTTTGGCACTTCGCGCTCAGCACAAAAGTCTGAAACGAGAACTCTTGACCTGGCAAATGCCGCACAAATGTCAGTGCTTGCAAGCGCATTGTACATCCTGGGGTTGCTTGGTCTGTACCTGTCTTCATGATAGAATGTGGTTCTCTGATCAATCGGTTCTGATATTTCTCCTCTGTGGAAAAAGAATGCCACTCATTACCAAGTTTCACGTCTCGCAACCAATTTTTGAGGTTGCATGAACACAGAGCAATTACTGATTCTTATGAGGCAGGCGAGGATGGTCAGAAACAAAGAATTTGGTAATGGTGAAGCAGTTTCTTATGCCTCGAGCAGCTTATAGAAAGCCAGTCAATGGCGAGCAGATTAAGCCTGTGTGCAGTATCCATCTTGCTGACTACGCACCAGGTATTTGCTGTTCCAACAACTCCGTGGCTTGGCTGTGTTCATCAGGAATCATTCTGGTATGCGCAAGAATGCTGCACAATGAAAATCACTGGAAGGGGTTTTGGCACTCGAGTAGGTGTCCTGATTGAGGCAATGTAGCTTTGGGCCTCAATTCTACCATGGGTAAAACCTTTCCGTAGGCAAATTCGCAGTGTAATTCCGAAGTCAGCATTAACCAGGAACTTGGCCCTTCGTGGTCTTTGACAATACCTGTCGCTCGGAAAAATTGACACTGCATGCAAGAGAGTGGACGTCGTCAAAACACATTGCTGTCTGCAACAGCTACTTTGCACTATAGGGCCACTCGACACTCCGCAGGCGACTCCCACAGTCGTGGTGATTCAGCAACTCGTCAGTGAAAATTTTCCTGCATTGCAAACGTTTTGTGACTCAGAAATTCACCACCCACGAAAGCCCCGGCAGCGGTTTCAGTGGGCAAGAAAATGTTACTTCTCTGGATTCCGCTGAAGGCATCTTTGCAAAAAACAATGTATCCAGACAGCAACGGCGGCAGTGATTAGGCAGCTGAATATATGGGTCTCCCCTGCAGCCGAACCCACCGACAAGTCCTTAGAAGTTATGCGAAAGTTCTCGGAGCAGTATGCAAGCCGGACAGACACTTTCTTCTGCTCGGATCTCTCGGTGACTGCGGTTGTGATTAAGGTGAGTTTGTCTTCGCCAACAACTTTTTTGGTAGGGAGGAGATTTGCCTCAGCCCACTCTCGTTGGACCCCCGGCTGCGCAAGCTCCTTAGAGTACTGCAGCTTTTCTCGACGTTTCTTTTGTGGTCGACTTTTTCAGTCCTTGCTGCTAGACAAAGCACAATCGATTGATGTGTCATCAACTGAACGTCCCAAGAAGGCTGACTTCTTTGAAAAGGTTGTCTTTGTTTTCGTTTGGTAAGCTGTTCGGAAAGCCTTAGTATGACCTTGTATCCATCAAGTGCAAGTTGGCCACTGCCTCTGGGGCTTTGTAAAAGCAGTGCAGCAACCAGAGACTACAGCTCGCACTTACAGCTCGACTCAGATGCAGGCAGACAATCTACCTGTACTCATGCATATAGTGCCCCTTAAGCTTGCTTGAGTTGGGGGCATATTTTCCAGAGTTGGTCGAGGTCTGGTTTCCTTCACGTAATGCTGATTGCTGGTTGGTCATGCAGGGTCTTGCGGAACACAAGGACACACTTGGAGCTCCACTGTGCCCTTGCCGGTAGGGCCTGGAATCATCTTATTCAGCGCTCTCACCTTCTGCGAAGATCAGCGTGGTTGAGGTCCTTTTTGAGACATGCTTGTAAACTGAACATTGAAGGTCTAGCAGAACTTCGAGCGAACCACCAAGCTCTTGATTGTAGCTCGTGGAGAGAACGAAGACAACTTTGCGGACGACCACTTCTAAGTTTGCACTACTCCCTGGCTGCATCCTGCGAAAGCCTCCCTGCAAAAAGTCCTACAAGTGTTCCTCTCTTCTCTTAGTCGAGATGTTCTGTGTTCAGAATGCGTCACACCAGGTGGTCTTCAGAACCTTGAGACCGCAGATGCAAAGGAAGCTCTTTTTTCCTTCCAGGCATTACGATGATAAAGCACTTGAGGCGCAACAAGGATTCTGGAATTGCCCCTGTGTTCCAATGAGGGAGAGGTAACAAGTGCCTCTAATTGCTGTGGGCAAAACCAGATTAAGAGGTTTTCTCTTATGTGCTGTTTGTGCATCTATTGGATCCTGTTCTATCTCGTTCCATAGTTTTGCCGATCCTTATTTTGTTCCTTTGTTTTTCCTTGGTAAGTCGCAAGGGTCACGCAGACAGCCCAGAGCTTCACAGCTTCATTCTGACACCTGACACTGACATCGGTTCATGAAATGCTTGCAGGAAAGAGTGCCATTGTCTTCTCTTTTTGACCCCAGAGAATGACTTTGCTGGAAAGGAACAGGTACGACCCCTCATCCTCCTCGTACTCTCGCAAGATTGCTCTGCTTCAGATCCTGTGCATGCATTGGAGCCGTGGCTTTTCTGGTAAGGTCCACTGGTCCAGCACGTTTGCTCACGTCATGTGGCTTCGAAATACAATTGAGCTTGTTATACAACCATCTTGTCTTCTTCCTTACAGAAAATCACGGTAGACACGATCAAAGAACTTACCAAGGATGTCTAGAAGCAGAAGCTTTACTGTACAAATCTTGTGGGGAGAAGAAGTGGCCCCGCACTAGCAACGGCTGTACATTCACTTTGTTCATTGAATCTCCTCGAGTTTGAAAATCTGGAAAGAAAGCGCATCCACTGTTCGTGAGTTGCTTTGCAAGTTCTCAAAGCTGGTGATCATTGGCAAACCTTTGATCGTGATATCTCCAAGCACTCTTCGTCCTGAAGCAGACGCCACAGCCCGGCAGTTTACAGCCATGCATTCAGTAACACAGCAGTTGTATCCCATGACAATCAGGCATTACACCGCGCACTAAGTTCGATTTGTATGCATTGCGGTCAAGGCCCACCCACGGGATGACCACTGTCTTCAAAGAAAACACTGAGCGTCGGGTCACTCGCACTCGGGTCACTCGGGTACCATCATTTTGTAACTGGTACCCCCCCATATTTAAATCGACCATTTTCGGAAGTGGCCCCTTGCCAGGACCCCTGGGGGGCCTCGGCTGCGCCGAGAGGCCCCAAGCTCCCCCCCCTCCTGGGCCCTGCTGCATAAGAGGGCAGTGAAGCCAAAGCCAGAAACCAGTTTATTTTTGAATGTTTTTCCTGTATGGTGTTGGCAAAAGCTTGTATATATCCCTCGCTTTTTGAAAGCTAGTTAGAACTTAGCCCCGCA